GCGTTTCGCCAGAGAGGAAAAGAAGAACGACAGAGAAGTCGTGGTTGAAGGCTTTCTTTACTCGCGAAATCTTCTCTACCGATATGTAGATACGAAGTTGCGTGACGTTCGATGGAAACGTTGCTGTTCCTTTGTTAGGGAAATTAGCGACGTCCACGTTAGGGAAATTCTCTGTATTATCTTATCGTTGCATCGTTTTAAAATTGCATCTCTCTGACACTTGTTTCAACGCGGATTTACAGCGAAGAGGAAGTTTGAAATTTTACGGAAGCTTTATCCTCGGGTTTACTTAAATATTGTGCATTGTGCGTTATCTCTTTCTGAAAGCGTGATGGCGTGTTTTATCGTACAATGCTCGGTTTCGTTGAATTCAATGGGAAAATCGAGGAATATTCAAATAAAATTCTACAGGTTTTGCCGCCTTTGACGGGAATCGGTACGTGCTGACACGCGATCCTGAGGAACAAAAGCGTAATACTGGATTCCTCTTTCACCGGCTTCGCAACGGTAAAAAGGGGGTGAACAATGAAATAAGCAACTCGACGCACAACCCGGAAACGGATCGTAAAGTCGACCGTAAAAGTTTCGTACGCGGCATTAAAATTGTACGAGTGCCGGAGAGGGGTGGAGGTGGGGAGCTTTTTAGCAGGTCCCGTGTTCTCGAACTGCTTAATTAAATCCGAGACTTTGTAAATCAAAACACGTTTACCCGAACAAAATTTCCGCGCGTTTTATCGAGAGTCCCTGTTTCCAACGGGTCGAAAAGTTCGCCGGTAAATTCGCTTTTGATCGGCTCGTAAAAAAGGGCAGTAAGGGAGGAGGAAAGGGAAAACAAGAAAAAGCTCCGACAGATAAATAACTCCATGTACTTTTCCGCGGCGACGAGAAAGCCGGAACGTAAAACTGTCAAACGTTTAAAATAAAAATCGACCGTTTGCGCGCGTGTGTGTGTGTCGGTTTCGTTTCAAGAAGAGTTGCATCGGGATTCGGGAATCGCGAAACTCGTGAAAAATTCGTGATTTGTTTGTCGTTCGTTCCTCCCATGCAATGCAAGGATAATGTCGCTTTATAAAATATTTTCTATACGACCCCATTATTCTTCGATCTTTTGAGCAGCTTCATTTTTTCCCCTGTTTTTGCAATCTGTATTACACTTTTTCCCCTTTCGTTCCGTTCTTTTACATTTACGTTGAGAAAGTCATAGATTTCTGACGCTCGGGAAACGAAACAAAAGGTGTTCTCTTTTCCTTTGCAAAAAATAACTCTTTTTGCTCGATATATTTGCGGTCGAATAGTGGATTTTCAAATGGAACGCAGAAGTACTATAAACAACCTCTGTACAGAGAGAGAAAAAAGGAGAAACACCTTGTTGGGGGATGAATATATTTTTGGTGGGAAATCCTCGATTGCGTGAAACGCAACGGAGAAACGCGGCGAGATCTTTTCAACGGATCGACAGCGCTACTTCAACTCGTATTTCTCTTCCGTTTCGACGGTCGCTTTTCACGGGCAGCGATCGACTATCGGTAGAAGGTTGCCCACTCGTGGAAACGTATTTCTGATCGAAATGCTGTCTCTAATCAATGTCCATTAAGCCGCGGAGGGAATGAAAAAAAAATTCCGATCAACCCCATGTCCACGTTGCACGTCCACGACTAACACCACCTCCGCGGATTTCGATTCGACGAGGGCTCGAACCGATGGATTTTCTGATTTTTATTTCGACGTGCACCCGACAGATTGCCTTGTTCGCTGCACATCAACGTACCTATATACGCAATTTCGATTGTTGCTCCGGGCAACTATTTTTTCCCTACCTTCAACGAAGTTAAGAATGCCACACACACACGTTAGATACGGTACATGGATCAACTTTTTTTCCTTTTTTCTGTCCTTTTCTCTACTAGACTATAAAAATTCCAGCGAAATTCGTCGATGAAAGCGCGAGAATTTGTTATTAGCAAGGACAGAAGTCGTGAAACGGCGAATGAAATTCTAATGCATTCATAACGGTGGACATTTAAACCGTGAAAATTTCATTATTGCGTAAAATTAACACGATCCCGAACAAATTTGATACAAATTCATTGAAAATGGGAATGAACCGCGCATTAAACTCTTGTTTATTAATGCTTGCTTAATGTGGATTAAATTTCACCTGTTCCCATGCATCTGGTATTTTAAACTATAATTACGATAAAGTTCGTTTAATATTCTCTCGGTATAACGGTCGTTTCACAATTTCTTCGCACGATTCGAACGTTACGTTAAAAATCCTGGAGAATTTTCCATGTGAAATCACCGGCGAAGTATCTTTAAATCCTCCGGAAGCAATACTTTTCACGGTGAAACGTGACAATGCAACGTGGTGGAGTTTTACGAGTCTGGCTTGAAGTGGTTAGAAACGTTTCTCGCAGCTTCGAAGTCGGTTTAAAAACAGGTCAGACAACGGCTCGTAAAGTTGTCGGTAACATTGCAGAGGAAAGAAGCCGTGGCTCTTTCGCGCTCGCACAGGAAACGTTAAAAGTCCCTCATTACCTAAGCTCGTTTCGAATTCACTCTCCGCGCTTCCGTGCATTAAAATTTTCCAGTGTCTTGAACTCTACTAGCCTGGCCCGTTTGCTTGCTTTTTGCAGCTGAAAGCGTTCTACGTCGACCTACTGGTTCCCCTCGAGACGAACCTGGAGAAAGACACCAAGGTCGTCCAGGTGAGTTGCCAACGTAATCCACCGTACACGTTAAGGGATATCGACCACCCAACGGATTTCTGAATAATGCAATATACACTCTTCCTCAGAGCGAACAGAAGAAGTTTCTGCAGCAGCACAAGACCAGGTCCGAAACTTATAGCAAAGCGGCTGCGACTATGAAGAAGCAAAGGAAAAAGTCGAGGGGCGCGAGTAAGAGTGGACTTGCCATGGACAAAGAGCTCAAGAATATGCAGATTCTCGAGGAAGAGAAGTCTAAGCTAGACGCCTTTTGTGAACAGAGTTTGAAGAATGTAAGTGTCTAATGAACAAGAATTTCGCATAGAAAATAGGATATTTTGAGTTTGGACAATTTTTGCTCCGAGTATTTTTCACGTTTCTTCCTGGACTAGTATAAAGATTTTCGAAGATCTGAGCTAGGCATGATCCTCGGTCATGCGAACACTCGTGTCTCGACAAATTGTTCGATAGAAATATTCTCCAGGCTATAAGGAGTGCAAAAGTGCAAAGAAATATCGAATATCCCCTTAAAGCAGATGAAAATCTGTGTCGACTTTGATGTTCATGTAAATAGATCAATTACGTGGAAAGAAAGAAGGGTAATGAATGAACACGACGGAGTATCGCGTCTCTTCTTTTTTTCAGGCAATGACTCAGGAAAGACGAAGGTACGGCTTTGTTCTCGAGCGACAGTGCTCCTTGGCGAAACATTATGCGAGTTTTCACGAGGTCGCGTTAGCTGCTCTTCATCCCTCGATTGATAAGTGGCGCGAGGTAGCTAGTACCCGGGAATATTTACCACAATCCGTGGAAGACATGTTCGCCTCCAGACTTAGAGTGAGTAGATACTTTCAATATTTCTTCACTATCACGAAATCTATTGCACTAAAACGTGCTCCTTTTTTCAGTTAGAATTTTCTATTTATGCATACTTGAAGAGAGAGAGAGAGAGAAATATCCAATCGATGTAATTGATTTGTACAATTAATCTTCTATTATTCTGTGTTTAGCAAGTTTCATTTTGGCCAGAAGACGAGGAGAACGGTGGCTCAGAGCTTACCATGAGCTCACAATTGAGGAAGACCAGAAGCATGGATAGCTCTTGCTTAGAACTTCGACCTGGACCGCCATCCGGAAATGTGCCAAGTGCCACTTATCAAGGCCCAACTTCGCATCTTCCAACTGTTCTGTCTAGAGCAAGGTCAGAGGCTAATCTGCACGCTTCAACGCTATCTCTAGACCCAGGTAAGCCACAGTACCGAGTTAAACTTTTCGACACTTCCACGCCGAAGAGCTTGAAACGATACAAGCTATTCCTGAATATCACGTCTAAAGTGAATTCACACGGTGAAAAAGAAAATATGTGAAATATTATTTCCAATCACGGATTTCGAAATACCACCGAAGCATAGATACTCCGCGGTGACGGAGAAAACGAAAACACGACACTGCAATCTTTTTTATTGTAGCCAAAGCGAATGGTTGAGTAGCGTTTCGAGCGGAGTCGACATCGAAGTTGAACACGTAACAGAGTGCAACAGAACCGAGTGGAGAAGTGCTCGCAAAACAGTTGGAGAGAGCCGGGAGAGTTCGCTGTATCGAATATCGAATTTCACTTGTCGACCGCCGCTCCGCGCAGTCAAGAATTTTACGACCTTTCCCATTATCCTCCGAGGAACAAATCGTATTAATCAAAAGATCCATATCGGCCGTATTGAACGACGGGAAATTTTCAAATTCGAAACACACATACACGCACACACAGCGTCGAGATTCCATCGACGAATTAAAGATCTATTTAATTCCGCAAATTCAGCTCACTACCTCGTGCTACCCTAAATAACGCGAAACTTTCCGTTTCCACGGCTTAAAAGTTCCCCGAGAGTAACGCTTTTGCGCGCAAGCCAAATACATAAATTCGCGGGCAATAACGCGGGAGCGAAATAGATTGTGTAACGGAGGGAGAAAAAAAACACGAGAACTTGGTAAAAATGTTGAAGTAAGTACGCCGTTTCAGATGTCGTGGTTTCTGGCGGAAAGCCATTCCTTTGACCACAACAGAGTGCGGTAAAACAGAATCACTTATGGAAAAGAACCACGAAATCTATGTTACGAATTGCAACTCTTAATTTCGACGAAGTTCTCCCTAATTTTATCACAACAACGATCAATTTCTATTCGCAACTTGCTCAAAGTTATTTCCCCCTGATTAGGCGTAATGTCTACATAGGAAACAAGAGTGCACGGGGTTCCAGGAAGCCGATTTGCTGAAATCCTTCCACTCGAAACCGTCCAGCCTTCTAATACCCTCACGCCATGTGCAAGTTACGACAGAAATGAGCCGGGTTAACGGTCCTCCTCTTGGTATTTTCGCAGAGGTCCCGGAAACTCCACCAAGGCCGAGGTCCATGGCTCCTCCGGCATCACGCAACAGCGGGAGCGCGGGCGGCGGAGGCAGTGGCACAGGGGTGAGCTCTGGTGGCTGGGGGGATGCGCCCCTCGCGAGGGCTCTCTTTGCCTATTTGAGCTCCGGGGAAAATCAGCTAAGTTTCTTGGAGGGCGATCTCATCGCGTTGATGGGTGAGTGTTGGATGTTTGAACACTTGCACACCGTTCCCGAGATACCTACCTATGCATCTGTTTCCCCCCCATGTGAAATTATACCACTCTGACCGGAACACGATTTACCGTCAGATTAGCGAAATACGGCTGGTATTCGCCTACACGATAAATTCTAATAACACGCTCATGGCACCGTTGTTAGATATCGTCCTGATACCGTTCGCATGTAGTTGAAAGGTTCGAGAGGTTAGGTGCAGTTTCGATTAGAATTATTCGATACGGAAGATTTTATTTAGAGGTTGGAGTGATTTATACAGAGACTAAGTTTTTGTAGCGATATAATTATTGCGAGGGTTGTTTCTATTTTGTGAAAATACGTTATTAGGAGATCGTCAGAAGGGCTGGCAATTTGGGGAGAATCTGCGCACACAGAGTTCCGGATGGTTCCCACTGGCATACACAGAAATTATTATCGACGATAGTCTGGGGTAAGTTAACAGAGGCGGGAAAGTCTGTGCTTTTGGTGGACCGGGCTGATATCAGAACTGATCTTGTTACGATGTTCGTTGCTAACAATTGCACGGGTCGAATGCAATTACGCTAATCTAGAACGATAACGGGGAATGGCCGATATCGATGCAGCTATTCCCATTAAACGTATTCGTCTTGGTGTTATTGTTGCATCTACTCTCCTAAATCCCATTATTCCAATGGTCGATTTACGATATGGCGATAGAAATTTTACGTCAGAGGCACTTAACTGTGATTTAACGCGTCCATTGCCCGCTTGGAATGTTGAACGTATAAAAATGTTAATTCGGTTCTTAATCTTTCGAACGGTCCTCCAATAGGCAATTATAGACACTTTTAAAAATACCTACATAAATTTCTATCCTTGAACAAAATGTAACATTTTCAAAATGAAGGCTATATTGTGTTGAAAATTTGTCAAGAGTGATACGATAACGCAGTGTAGTCTGTTGAATTCTGAAATACTTTATAATTGATATCGTCTCTTGACATTTTCAACAATTCGAAGTTAGCCGACATCGTTACTGTTATCACTAAAATCAAACTGTACGATAACGTGTGAAGATCACCGAGTCACGGAACAAATAATGGCCGAGCACCAGAGCCACAGGCAGTTCCACCCTGTAAGCCTCCACCCTCTCGGCCGCCAGTGACACCAAGCAGCATGGACGAAGTGTCGAGTGGATTCCATGGGGTAGGAAACAACAGCGTCAACAACAGTAACAACAATAACAGCAGCATCGGCACCCCTATTAATGTACCGAATAGTAACAGTTCTCACAATTTGGCTACGCCAACTGCGCGTCAAATTAAACCGGTGAGAATAATTGCTTCCTCTGTTACAATTACACAAACACAGAAGCTGAACATGTTAAACCCTACAAAATTTTTCCCAAATTTATTTTTCCGCCACACCTTTAAATATCTGAAGTACGCTGCTTTAAACAATTACGGAATCGCTACTGTGAGCAAAAAATTTGTTCAATCTATCGGAGAAAAAAATTTTTTTTACACATTTGGCCTTTCAACGATAGCAGTCACATAGCAATTTTTTGTGCTTCAAAAAAATTTCCAGAAATTACACGCTTGCTAATATGTGGTTCTCTAATTATTTTGAGCAGTTTAACACAAAATTTGCAAGTTAAAGTAAACTTGAAAATATCCAACCAGAAGCACCCTCAAATTTCTAGCTCGAGTACTCAACTGAAAGATAATACCACAGTAAATTTTGAAACGCATCCACGAGAATAGATATCCCTCCCTATATCGAAAAGATGAAATGTAAATGTCCTAAACTTTATTGCTATCCTCTTTAGATCCGTCCATCGGGCACGTTGCCCACAGTGTTGGCTGGTGGCCGCAGGTTACAGCCACCTGCTCCACCGGTTCCACCCCCTCAAGTTGTGACATCTCTTCACAGTAGTAACGATAGTGGTTTCTCAAACGAACCGCCGGCACAGCCTGACATCGACTATAGCGACGACGAGGCAATGAGGCAAGTAATCGCCACGAGATTTCATCGAACATACTTTGGAAACTCTGATTGAATTTCGTCGAAAGTAGTTGATGATTGTTGGCAAAAAAACAAAAAAAAAAAACAAACAAACAAACCTTGTAGAAACGCTTCTGCCTGTGATTCGTGAACTTGGAGCTTTGTATTTTACTCCTGCTCTCAGTAATTTTATTATCTTGGTTTCCGGTATCTCTCTAACGGAATGTACAAAATAGAATTTATACCGTAGTACCGTAGCTTCTACGTTTGTTCAAATCTAACGACCTCTTTCCATTAAATATTTCTTATACTTAATTATTTCCATTTTCATCGAGATTAAAATTAGAATAGTACTACGATCTGCATGCCGTACAGTTTATGGATTTCTCCTTACTTATAAATCGATCCTTTGTGCTCGGACTACTTTTTCTATGATTAACCTTTATGAAACTCCATCGGTGACGTCCAAAGTTTTCTTCTAACAAACACATTTATCATCGGATGATTATTTTTGACTTTATTCGCGTTACATCCCGTATAAATGTTAGCGTATCGGAACGACACCGTATTTCGAGTTCAAAGGATTCACCTAACATTTGAACAAGAACGAACAGAGAAGAATCAGAATCACCCTAGTGTTCCTATTGAAAAGTCAACGGAGAAAAATAGTAGATCTTTTGATCAGCAAAACCGTATCGCTCATTTTATCTTTCTCTCTTACAAAAGACCAAAAAAAGAAAACATGACGCTGTTACAATCCAACATCCAGCGATACCAAAAAAAAAAACAGTAGGCTTGTTTTCAGAGTCACGATGTTGTTTTCTCTCCTGATTTGTAGATTCCGCATGCGTTATCGTGGTCGATGGAAATAAAATACGGCGTGGTGGTGGCTCATTCACCTCTCCGGGCTCCTGCGATGCCAGCAGCCATATTTCCCCATCCCCGCATATCGCAAAGTCCGCGACCACAAAGCTCGACAGCCGCATAACTAATCCTTCCCACGTACATACTTGGCTCTTGGTTCTCTCTCTCTCCCATACGCTGCACTTTTCCGCTATTTTCTCTCTCTTTCTCACTCTCTCTCTCTCATTCTATCTCTTATTCATCTCTCTCTCTCTCTTCGACATTCTGTTCTGTTCATTCTTCTCTTTTCTTTCTCTTTCTGTCACTCTCTCTGTATTTTTCTCTCTTTCTCTCTCTTCTGTCTCTTTTTTTTTTACTCATCCCGAGCCCGAACGAAAACGCAGACAGCGACGAAGAAAGCCGCGTGCCGATAGAATAACCGAGGCCGTGAAGCAGCATCAGAAGGACGAGAAGTCGAGCAGCAAGGACTGGGAGAACGACTCGTGGAAGACAATACCGAGGGACGAGAAGAGCTGGCACCTTTACAGAACAGCGATGGACATTTGGGCGGAATCGAACGCGAATCAGAGCAACGAGAACGGCGAGACAAGGTACTCGAACCGGCATTACGACACGCAGGAGCGGAAGAACGCCAGGGACTTCTCCGAACGTGGCACCATGGAGAACGGGCCGACGAGGAAGTCCGGGAAGAAGATGCAGGAGAGATCGCAGAAGAACGAGTACGACAATCGCGGACGCGCCAATTCCAATCACAAGAGCAAGGTGCTGAACAACGAGGAACAGTCGAGGAAGTCTACCAGAAGGAACAACGAGCAAACCGAGCAGAATCGTCGAGAAGCGAAAAGAACGAAGGAGCACGAGGAGACCGAGGAGGATGAGATCGAGATAGAAGAGGAGGAGGACGATTCCTACAGCGCTAGGATCGATTATCAGAAGTACGAGGGGAAGAAGTATTACGGCGACAGGACAGACGGCCAGGAGCGTAATTCACGACGTGGTTATCATCCGGTCGTTCAGGAAGAGTCGAAATACGAAAACGAGAAGACTTCGTCCGCCACGTCTTCTGGTACCGACGACGAGAGCACCATCACGATCCCAGAAACCGGCAGGAAGGTGGAGCACATCGCGCAGAAACTGGAGCAAACTGCGCAGAAGTACGCTCGAGAGCACAGTCCGCCGAAATTCATGGAAAGACGAAACGATTACAGAAGTCTCGAGCGAAGAGAGGAGAAGCAACCTCCTCCGCCGTACGAGAGGTACAACGACTGCGAGAGAAATCGTCCACCGCAGAGATTCGAGCGAGAAAGGGAACGATACATGGAGAAGTCACCGCCGGCCGTTCAAAAATCCTCCACCTTCGAGAGAGAAAGGACGTTCGAGAAGAATCCTGACAGGAACAGGAATATCGAACGAGCGTCGAGTCGCCGCTTCGAGAGACCGAGACCGCCTTCGGAGGAGGCACCCGAGAGACCGACAGACACTCGTACCTTCTACAGAGAGCGCAGGTACTCCGATAAGGAGGAGGCAATCTACGGTGAGACGAAGTTTGTCCGGGAAAATGTGACCGTAGACAAGGAGCGCGGTTACGAGTCGAATTTCGAGACGAAGCTGGAGAGAACGAAAGTGATAGAGAGGCACGGCTATCAGAATCTTGGCCAGAGTAATCTGCAGAAATTCCAGCGAAACGGACCTCAGAGCTTGGAGAAAAATGACACCAACAATAACACGTTGAAGGACGATAACCGGAAACCTCTGCTTCCGAGGCAGACCACTGCTGTTGGACACTTGATACAGACAGGCAGAGCTTTCGACGTCGACTCGAAGAGTCCGAAGCTCGTGAAGAGGACGAAATCGTTCTGGAGGTTCAGGAGAGACTCCGACGTGCTGGAAGGCATGGCTCTTTGGCAGCACAGATCTTTGGTAGACATTCCGAAGATGATCAAGAAGGAAGTGAAGGACGATAGTATGAACTCCGAGGACATGAAACAGCAGAGTCCGGAAGGCAGTCCAAATTCTAGACAACGATTGGAGAAAAGGAACAGCGACGTGACGATCACAAACGATCCACGTCAGGACGAGCCCAAACCTGCCGAGAGGATTCACGTGCCTGAGAAGTCTGATTACTTCGAAGAGTTTCCTACGCCAGCGGAGAGACCGAAGGCTGTCGAGAGGTCTGAATATCGAATGCATCAGGAGGAGAGGTCTTACTTCATGGGGAACGTTTCCCGAAAAGCCATAATCGAGAAGGAAAGGAAACGCAGCCTGGAAGCAAAGCGCAACATGATCGTGGCCGAGTTGAAGGAGAATAACGAGGCCAAGAGGAACGAGAGGAGGAAGAAGTACACGGACGATGAAGACGGTCTGACCCAGAATTTCAGCGAAACCGAAGCCTCCGACGAGGAGTCTACTTACAGTTGCATCGTAGTGAAGGACCAAACTGTGGCGGAAAAAACTCTTCTTCCCAGGACTAAACTCCGCAGGGATTCCGATCGGGAAAGGGATAAAAATACTTGCGGACCATGGTACGACCTTTGGGGAGTGGACGCCTCGGTGAACAAGAAAAAGAAGAAGAAGCAGCAATAAATCTATTAAACTCTCCTCTTTGTTCAGTTTGTTCGAATCAGTATCAGAGTGTGTTTGGGGGTCTCTCGGGTTCCATACGACGGTTTATCATGTTTTAAAGTTTATCGATTGTTATTTTGTTGAACGAAGTCACGAAGACGCGAAATCTTTGATGTATTGAAGATTTGAAGGAAGAGAGGTTGAAACGATTCATATGTTGGACGAATCGAAAGATAGTTACAAATCAGTCCGTTCTTATAATTTCGTCCTTAAGATTTTTACTCGTTTACTAAGTTTTCGTTTTTTTCTTTTTTTTTTTTATCGTTACATTCCAATGTTTTATCGTCATCTCCACCACATTACCACCCCCTTTTGTTTCGCACCACGAATGACCGTCCGTAAGTGTTTTCCACGTAGCGCTGTTCCCATTGCTTCTTTGAAACGTTTAAAGCCTGTTTTGTTTGCAAGCATAGTGATTGTTTGATTCTGTTTGCGCTTTCGTCGACGCTTGTTTATAATCAAATCGATGTGTTGACGTTAAACGGAGCGCGTAGAGTAAATCAGAATGCGCCCCAGAGTGCACTGGTGCATGTTGACGAACAACCTGTTATCGCGATGGAAAAAATAACGTTATGGATGATGTCTCAATCGTAACTCTTGTTGGATCTGTCGTAACAGGATTCTGCACCGATCTGACGTTACTTAAGCTCGTCCTACGAACTACTATACAGAATTCTAAAAAAACAAAGAAGTATTAATTTTTAAGAATCTCGAAACGATCTGATTCTATAAAGTAGAAAATCGAAGATTTAAAAATTTGAAAGAATTCCTATTTTTATTCGCGTTTTAGTTATTTCTGAATGGAAACGTGGAGGAGAAAAGCGTCGGAAATGTGACGCACGCTCGACCGATTTCAATTGATCTGTCATTTTGTACAAATCGTTCCTGTCAATGGCCAATGAACGAATTAATAATTGCATAGTGGCGTGTCGCGCTTAAGAACAGCTATGTAAATTAGTTTCTGCATTAATGACACGACGATTTCAGTTTGAAATTTTATCACCGCGTATTCAGTTATTACTCGTGTAAATTAGTTTCCGGTTTCAGTGGAAATGATTGGATATACCCTGTGTAATGTTGCCGCTCATTTGAATATAACGCGTAGGTGTTATGAAAAATTCAATTCCGTTCCCACGCCATTTCGCTTTGATATTACAAACGGTATTTATCGCGTTTAACGTTTCACAATCCCTTTTAATAGAAATTGTGTCACGGCTGGACGGTGCTTGTGACGCATTTGAATGTTTTTTTTTCTTTTGTTTTGTCACAGCAGTGGTGAAATCTTCGTCAAAAAGATGTTTCACATTTGTATTCCCGTTTTCCATATCAGCGCATCTCGAAGAATTCATTTTTCGTCGCGCTTGTATCGTCTTCCTTTTATTTTTCACTTTTGCCGCCGCCATCCGACGAAATTTCGATGTTAAAACGTGTGTTGTTCACGCGGGACACACAAAGGAATTTCCCTCTTTTATTTGTGTTTACGCTTCGCATGAAATATCGTGTCAATGTTTTAAGTACGCTGCTCTTTATTTTTTCTACGATACTATGACACAAGTTCATTACAGAAAGTTTACCAACTTTCGTAAATATTTTGTTGTTTTATGTTTTTTCGTTGTTGTCCTTTCCGTTCGCTGTGTAATACTGCGAATCCCTCTTAATTCTTTTTTTTATTCCGTAGAAAAGAGAAGTTAACTTCGTAACGAAAGAGAACCTTCCTTAAAGCTCCAACAGTTTTTTTTTTTTTTCAGTAAATATCTCGAAATTTTTCCTTAAATAACGAACTGCTTGAATTATTGAAAGAATCGAAGCTCTCTATAAAACGACGAACGGTTCGATTAATTAAACTCGTGTGATCATTCCGTTCTTCCAGGACGAACATATTCGCAACGGTAAAGCTACGCAAAACGAAGACGAACGATCGCTCGGCGCCGGCGTTGTCATGAGATAAGCTCTTCATCTAGATTACTTTCCTTGTGTGATGTTAGATGTACCGACAAAGACGATGCCTCTCCGTTCGAGAGACAACAGTTCCTTTCATGCTAAAAAGACAAAAAAAAAAAAAGAAAAAAAACAAACATCTGAAGCATACACAGCTTTCAGAGATCTTTTTTCACGGCGTGGATGTCCGTCCAACGAACACGTCTCACTTTAATCCTCTATGACCATTCTTTTACGACGAACGGAGACGACTGAAGATTCACGAAGTTCCTTCTACTTCATAGCGATTGAAAATTCATCGTCAGCTTATTTCGGGAGTAAATCCGCATTCAGCTGCTCGTATAATTCGCTTGATTCGAGAATTTGATCTGCACCTCGATTTGTCAATTTATCTAGCATGACTTTCAACGTGGACTGATCAACGTATAATTATTAGGGACCATTATGCGATCAACGCGTTTTTTAACAAACGTTCTCTCGCCATTTCTAACATTTTTACAAAATGTATCATAGAGGATTGAAGAATAGTTCTCGAAAAATTAGAGGACCATAGAAAATATTTACTTCGTCCAGGTAAGACATTCGTCGAGCATTTCTTCAGCAGTTTATCTTCGGTTGAATGTTTCCAAAAAAGACATTCGCTACGTAGTTGTTTTATTTGCTTGATCATTTTATTCCTACGTTCAACAAGTAATCAGTCCTTCCTAAGAATGTACAATATCTCAAACCCTCTAATTATTTGTCCCAAATTTCACTCTCACAGTATACACTTTCCTCCGTCACGAAGAATCCGAAATTGCATTTATCCGGTAAATTGTGCCGTAAGAACGCTTCGTTCGAGTGATTCCTCATTGCAAAATCCTGTTCCCTGCGCGATTTTTATTCTCCCCCGGGCCGAGAACCGATTCCCATACGATTCTCGTACAGCTGTACGCGATTTTTATCGAGGCTTTTCGATATACACACAGTCGCGCCCCTGTAACGGCAGTTTATTTCCTGGCAAGTTAATCCCCGACGCCGTTTCCTCTTCTTCGACGACTGTGTCGCGCCGTCACAGAATGAAACTTTCATTCGAGACGTCGTAAAGCTGCTTTACGTTTCTGCTCGCGGGTTAAGGCTCGTAAAATTTCACTTCTCATTTTTTTTCCCCTCTCCTACTCTCGTTCGCGTCTCGCGCGTCCTTCCGCGTCGCGAAGCTTTTTCTCTCCTTGGCGGCTGTGTCGCCGCTTGTTCAGCTTGTTCGGCCGTGAAAATAAAGCCCGATGAAAGAAGAACACGGGCAAGAGCTCTGGTTTTTCCTTTCCCCTATTCGCCGTGTGCGTGAGATCATGTGTTGTCTCCGGGGGAAAGCTTGCTTTCGAGTTCGTGACTTTTGTTAGCTCATCGTCCGGTTCCTCCTCGACGTTGCAGTTCTCCAACCCTCCGCCCCATTTTCTTTCTTGTTTCTTCTTTCGTATCATATTTTTGCTATGGGTATATATGTATCCCCCTCATGGTACAATCTTATATATCTGTTGAATTTCGATACTAAATGTCTATACTGCCAGATCTACTAGGATCGTTCGTTACTTCGATTACGAGTATTTCAGTACGACAGGTTTCAAGCGAGGAAGAGTACTTAAGAAGAATTCCAAGTTTCGTAGTTATTATCAATTGTATACCGTTCAGACATTATATATTCTGTTTATTCGAATATGCATGTACAACGTAACGTTCAGATGCTTTTCATTTATCTTCGCTATGAAGAAAGGAACATGAACTTATCTTTGCAGCTACCACAACTGCCAGCGAAATATACGTATTGCTGTGTCATTTTGTAATCGAGCCTTAGTGTTTGGGAAATTTTATTCCGCCGATTTTTTCACGAATTTTCGTATTTGAAAATTGTTACTTTTTCTCGAAGCTTTCTATACCAAGCTTTATTCACTATGATATAATCAATTGTAAATATACTCGTTGGTGAAGATAGCAAGTGAAACTTGCAACGAAGTATATGTAGTTACGTTCTAGTAAGAGTAATGCGTTTTAAACCGTCACAAGCAGAATAGATCGTGTGATACTTTTTAAAGAAAAAAACTGCCCAGATACGTGCACACAAAAGACTCCATTTACGTGAACAGCGGGGATCTGAAAAGACTATCCCTCCCGTCGATGGAAAACTTTTACTATGAATATTATCAGGTATACACTGCCAGACATTCCAAATGTTTCTCTATTCCCGTGGAATTCTCGCGGAATCGAGAGGCTCTTTCGAGTTCAACGAAATACGAGTCATTGGAAAAGAAAGAAAGAAAAAGAAAAAAAGAAAATAGAAACATCGATCAACCCTTTTTTCAGCGTAAACACACGTTAGATTCGTCGACATTCCAGCAATGGGAAGAACCTAAGTGATAACGAATTCCAACGGTCATTCCTAGGTGCCCTGATCTTTCACGCGGTTGTAATTGTAAATATCGAATCACGTATGTATTAACGTTCTTCCACTTCGACACATATTGTTAAATCGTGTCCGCGTGGACACAAGAGAAGCAGTACTTATACACGTATAGTACAGGGATCTCTGAATTGGTTCCACGGGGCACAACCCCGTTTCTTTCTAAATAAATGTC